GAGCCGGGCCCGGCTGGGGCGGAGGCAGGTGTGCGAGTGGCCGAGGCTGCACGTGAAAGCCACAGGCCGCGTGGCAGGAATGAGCGCCCCTGGGGAGGAGAGCGATGGGGGACCGGCTGCCGCACCCGCATTCCTGGCAGAGGAAACAGTCCTGCAAAGGCCCTGAGCTGGCTGAGGAGAGGGCGCCTGCTCCCTCCTGACACTGTGCGCTCCTCTGGGCAGCGGGGAGGGTGGCGGGAGAGATGGGTGCTCGGTGTTAGGAAGGCCACTGTTCGCTGTGGTGCAGGTGGATGCATGGGAGGCCGAGTGCCCGCCTGCGAGGCCCTGAGGCAGGGGCGGGCCGTGACTCTGTCCTTTGCCCCCCCCCACCCCGTGTGCTGGGTGAGCTGGAGGAAGGGGTTCCAGGTGCTGATGAGTCCGGACAGGACCCCACCCCAGGGCTGTTCGTGAGCCTGCCGGGCGGGGTGCACAAAAGGGCTGCTGACCTCTGGCCCCTCCCTGTGGACGCCCCTCACTTGTCCCCTGGTCCCCACCCGCTTTCTTTCCCTGAGAGCAGGGCACGCAGCTCCCTTCCTGCTGCTGAGACTCCCAGCATTTCCCTGGAAACGAGCGGGTCTGCGCTGGGTGGGGCCGCTGCCCACCTTCCGAGACGCGGACCTGGCCTGGGCCATCAGCTACTACGCCCGCTTCTTCGTCACCTACATCCCTTTCTACGGCGTCCTGGGAGCCGTCCTCTTCCTCAACTTCATCAGGTGCCTGGCTTTCCGGCTCCTCCCCGGGCCGCACTGGGGCTGACGGTCGCTTTGACGAGAGGGACCCCTGGGCCTCATGTCCTGGCACCTCAGCTCACCCCCTCCGCCCGCCTGGGCTTCCTGGGGTGGGGGGAGGAGCTGACTTCCATGTATAAGATGCTCCTCGATTTTCAGTCTAACGATTTTAGAAAAAAATTAGTGTCTTATACACGGAAAAATACAGTACTTCTAGTACCAGATCATTATGACCACAACAGTCTGCAAAGACTGGGTGGATTTGGCCTGGGCCATCAGCTACTATACTCATTTCTTCTTCACCTACATTCCTTTCTATGGTGTCCTGGGAGCCATCTTTTTCTTCAACTTCCCCAGGTTCCTGGAGAGCCACTGGTTTGTGTGGGTCACGCAGATGAATCACATTGTCATGGAGATTGACCGAGAGCCCTACCGGGACTGGTTCAGCAGCCAGGTGGGGTCACAGGGCCCTTCGTCCAGGGCCGGGGCTGCCACTGTCCTTCCGCTGCTGGGCGCG